GCTGGGCTGCAAAACTCAATTTCTATTCTCCTCCCCCCCCCAAACTGGTGATCGAACCCAGGACCTTCTATATTTAGACAAGTCCTCTATGACCGAGCTATATCCCCAGATAACCCTCCCCCCTTCTGGAAACAGGACCCCACTATATAGCCCAGTCTGTCCCTTCCTTCACTCACAGTTCTCCTGCCTCAGCCCCAAGAACAGTTGGAATCACGGGCATGCCAAAGGCTCTGTTCCTTAACTCTGCATGGGGGGCACCAAGATACAAACACCTGAGTTAGCAGGGAGCCTGTACAGACTTCTGGGAAATACTCTAACTGAACTGGGGTGTGCTGCGCCTCATACGCCACCCTATCTGTGAGCCGAGGAGTCATTCTGCTATGCTATTCTACTCTACACTCTGTGCCCCGATCCTATGCAGCCTCGGCCTTGCCCTGCCTTCATCACCATCTCCTTTCCAGATCAGAGGCTCACAGGGAGCCAGAGTAGCTACAGAAAGTCTCGAAACTTTTGTGGGAAGGCCCCCACCGCCGTCCATCCCAGGACCTTTGGGCACGGTGCTCCTTCCCCTGGACCTTCTCCCTTCCCTTCCTCTGCCCCAGCCCCAGCGGAAGCCCTACTTCCTCCATCTGCCAGTCACTCCACTGCCATCACATGACAGGCTGACCTGCCTTTCCACCACCACCACCCCTGCACTCCTAGTGCAGTGGCCAAGGAAGGACCATTTGTTTGAGTCCTCATGTCGGTCCTCTTCATCTCTCCCACCCAATGGACGGTCCCCTGGGGCAAGAGCAAGTGTCCTCTGCTTTCTGCCTTGTCCCCCCCCCCCCCCCCCGCCCCCCCCCCCCCCCCCCCCCCCCGCTCCTCACCTGATGTCACCTGTTCAAAACTACTTGAAACACCATGGAGCAAACGAACAGCCAGGCTCCTCCTATCTTGCAGGGGATAAAAAGCAAAATTGCGTGGGGGGAGGGGGGGCAAAACTCCTACCTCTCTGGGGCCAGGACACCTGAGTGAGACAACGCGGTGGCTCTGGCATGCATGTGAGGCGTGACATTAGGGAAGTCACTTCCCTCCTCTGAGCCTTGGGGTGCTTATTTGTGGAACACAAAGCAGGTGGAGCAGAGCCAGGGTAAATTTGGAGAGACACACGACGGTGTTTGTGTGTGCAGCAGCTGTGTGGGCATGCGTGCGCGCCTCCTGAACAAGAGCATCCACAGCTTCCGTCACCTTCTCAGCAGGAGCTGTGGCCACTAAGGTTCAGAACCATGAATTAAGGTCTTGTTTAGCTCTGGAGCTCTAGAATTCTAGTAAACTAGAAGAAAAGAAAGCAGGCTAAGCACAGGACTGAGCACCGGATTAAGCAGAGAACTGGCCGTCCTATAGGATCTCGCAACAAGGGTGACTGCAGGACTGCTAACCTACGGGTACTCCAGGCTGGGAGAAGCAGAGGCCAGAGGAGTAGTCCCAAAGGACGGCCTTAGGAGGGAGGAATCAGCCTGACATCTCCTTCTGCAGCTCCCGTCACCATCAGACAAGCACCCACTTGTCTTGGATACGGCACAGAGTGAGGAGGTGAGGTTGGCACCTAGAGATGCCCGCCAGGCCCTTTGGCGCCCAGGTCAGAGAAGCTTGGCGGGAACACTCAGGAGGGATGCCAGTTCCTCGTCAGGCCCCCATAGGAGCCTCAGGAGGGCTCGACATGTACGAACTGTGAGGGCCAAAGAAGCCAGCGGAGGGCCATGAGACGGTTCAGCTGGCAAAGGCACCTGCTGCTGAGCTTGATGCCATGAATCTGATCCTGGGGACCCACATGATAGAAGAGACGGGACTTCCACGGGTTGTTCTCTGACTTCCACATATGTACCATGGCATGTGAACATAGCACACACAAAAAATAAATTTTTTAAATTAATAATTTAAAAAAAGTCAGCTGAGGGGTATAGGACCCAAGCTCAAGATAGTGCAGAGCCAGAGCAGACAGCACCCTCCAAACAGGGAGGAGGGGCAGGTCTCAGATTCAGGCCTGCCAGTGTAGTGAGGGCTGCAGAAAGAGTGGGTGGGGGTAGGGAGACGGGGCACCTCAGCAGAGTGAGAGACAGGGGTGCCACCGTGGGCCAAGGGGGCTCATGAGCAGAACAGCAAAGCTGAGAAGGGAGTCAGAGACATGAGCCCAGGCTGCCTCAGGGCAAGAAGTTGGCCCATAGGATGGGCCAGGCAGGAATGGCGGCTGGCACGTGTCTGTGGCAGTAGGAGGGCCCTGGCTGCCAGCCCAGATGCGTGGTAGCTTCTGAGCTGGGTTCCTGTGAGGGTGAAAGCCCAAGAGATGTTTATCCAGAACAAGAACGTGAGTATCACACCTCCACCAGCAAGGGCCCCGGAGATAGGCACCGGCTGCTTTTTCCTGGGCTGCATGGTCTCCTGAGAGTTACCTGTGAATGGGGTCCTGGATTAGAAAGAGAGCTGTCTGCCCAGGAGCCCCTGCTTGAGCCAGGACCTGGGCACTTGGCTGAGATGGAGCCTTATCCGTGCAGATAAGGAAGGGAATGAGTCACAGCAAGCTCTCCCAAGAGGCCACTGGAAAACCAGCTCATCCAAATGCAGACAGACACTTGTCCCCTAATACAGACATCCCTGTTCCTGTCGCCATCACACAGGGCACATGCAAAAGCAAAATCCCTCCCTCCTCCTCCCCTGAGTCACCAGCCTCCAGTGCCCCTGCTTCTTCTCCCGGATCTCAGCCCCAATTACCCATCCCTGCCCACCCTCACATGCCCAATGGGCATTCCGCACCTAAGCCTACGGGAAGAAAGAAAGAGAAGGGTTGGGGACCTGTCTGAAAAGCAGCAGGCAAAACAAGGAAGTGGATGGTCTCAGCCAACCAGGGGAGGTAAGAGCAACAGTATGCCCTGGAGTGTGAGATGCCTCCCAGGGCTCTCCAATTCCCAAACCCCAGGGAGCACCTCAGACCTACCCCCTAAAGAAAAGCCCAGAATTTGAGATAGAAAGGACCACTGTCTCACCTCCCCTGGACATCTTGCATGACAGGAGTGGGAAGCTCTGAGCCAAGGGTGGCTGGGTGGGTGTGTGGGAAAGTTATCCTAATGACTCTGGAGGGACCTGCCATTTAAGAGCTCAATCATGTCACCCCAGTTCTCTGCCCTGCCACATCAGTACTGTGGGATGCCCAATTCATACTCCCAGGTTCCCTAAGTCTTCTCTTCCGCCCCCCCTCCGCGGCCACCAGGGCAACAGTCACTTGGGGATACAGATGACAGTTCCATTCCCAAACCTGTCCCTCATCATGCCCAGTAACTGCCTACTGCCTTGCGGGATAGAGTACTTTATTTACAAGTTCTCAACCCTGTACCTGTGGCTGTGGCATAAAACCACGAATAGGCTCTCGTCTGTGCCCCAGAGGGACAGCCAATCACGTGCAGAGGGGCCTCCTAGGCACTAGACACACTCTTGCAAACGTGTCCATAAGTACACACAGACACACTGGCCTCTCTGCTGTCCATAAGGAGGGACTGAAATGTGGGTGCAGGATGCATTTGGAGTAAACCCCAACTCTGCTGGCCTCCCTTGAAAAAAGAACTGTAGGACCCCAGTCTCAGCTGGAGCATAGCTCAGCAGACAATCCCATGAGGTTGCTCCTCCTGCCCCCTTGGAGAAGGAGGTTGCCGGGGCTGGAGTAGAGTTGGCCAGTCCCTACTAATACAAAGCACCTTCTTTCTCCCGGAGAAAAGGCTACGCAAAGCCTGCTCGCCCACATCAACCACCTGCTGGTCATCACTATTTTGTCTCTGGCCATATCCCACATCCAGGTTCCAAGACTCAGTCAGACAAGATGTAGGAGGGAGGGGAAAGGGGGTGAAGAGCTAATGCACCCTCCTCGTGCCACCCCGCCCTCGACCCCCGCAGCCACGGCCTCCCTGCCACTGCCTCCGCCTCACCCACCTCCTCATACCCTGCTGCGGACCGAGCCGGCTCTGAAGGGATAAAGACAACCACCACTCTGCCTCCCCACCCAAGCTAAGGGATGTTAACCTTCCCCTCCTTGACCCAGCACCTTCTGATGGTTCCAAATTCTCACCTGAACTAATTACTAATTGTCTGTTCTCTCTCTCTTTCTCTCTCTCTCTCTCTCTCTCTCTCTCTCTCTCCTCTTCCTTTCTCTTTTTTCCCCTTCACCTCCCCCCATATCTGTTGCCTCCCCCTCTCTGCCACTTTCTCTTTCCTCTTTCTTTTTGTTTGTTTTTGCTTTTTGTTTTAGGTTTGATTCGGGTTCAGGTTGTTTGTGAAACGATCTCACTGTGCTGACCCTGGATTATTACCTTCCCGCCTCAATCTCGGTAGTGCCTGATCACAAACCTGCCCCCAACGTCTCACAGGTACGTACCTTTCTAAAGCACCCTAAGCTCAAGGACACCAGAAGCCCAGGTGTGACCTCCACGGAACTGGCCCTCCCACGTTCCAACCCACACCTTCCCAGATTCCTTACTGTCCCAAGTGGACTGGGCTCTGCAGCGCCCGCTGCCCACACCCAGCCCGCAGCACCCTACCTGAAAACACAGTCGGC